CAAGTGAAAAACAGACTCTTTGAACAGCTAAAAATTAAACACCAGTAGCTGTTTAATTTTAAGCTATTTAAAGTTAAATTTCTAATCAGAAGACAGTTGTTGTCTGTTTATTTACTTCTGGTTCAGTTGTCCGTGAACCGTCAAATACACACCATTGATCTCAGTGGCTCTAACACGACCCCATCATGGAAGTCATATTAAGTAATTTTTTTATTTATTTAAGCGTTTCACTCCAAGCAAGGCGGGAAGCCACTAGGACGCAAGGGGTTACAGAAGATTTATTATATAATCTATAAATCAACCATCCGTCTTTACATGGGGTATTGCTATCATATAAGGTCTGGTGCTCCTGCTGTTCGTCTCGATGTCCTTGACAAAATCCAGAGACGAATATGCAAGATGATAGGTTCTGATCTGGCATCTAGTCTATAACCACTATCCCACAGACGTGCTTTGGCCTTCCTGTGTCTCTACAAATATTTTCACGGCAACTGTTCCGACGAGCTACTGTTACTGGTTCACGGACTTTTTTTTTTTTAAGCGTTTTACCCCAAGCAAGGCGGGAAGCCACTAGGACGCAAGGGGTTACAGAAAATTTGGAGCAAGATCAGATATGAGTGATAGAGGAAAAGATGAGGAGAAGGGTAGTGGATAGATCAAGGTAACTGGAGATGTCGATTGACATTACATTTGAATAGTTGGAGATTATAGATCTCAGGGAAACTGGAATAGGGAAGGGAGTTCCACAGGCGAGAGGTGCGAGACATGAAGCTATTGGAGTAGAAGAGACGGCTACATTTAGGAGTTTCGATAGTGAAAGGATGAGACCGGGATGCCAGCCACGTAGGGCGCTTGAATTCATGAAGTCTGGGAACCAGCGAATGCAGCTCCTCAGAGCAATTACCATAAAGGAAAAGAAAGGAATTGCTTCTAAGGATATATTTATGCAAAATATTATAAGATCATCTACTATCAAATGGAGTTTGTTTTTCCTATTTTTCCTCTTTACCGGTGCAAGTTTTACCTGTTCTTTATTACCTAAATTCCGTTTCGACCGTTCAAAATAGCATCCATTTGTTGACTCTACACTGTTCAGCCGTTTAAACAAACAATATTGTTCGTGGCATCATCTCAAGACGAACTGATATCGTTCAGACACATCAGCGATTGGGTCTTAAGCAGGTCGTCATGAGCTAGTTTTTGGAACAAAGTGAACTCATTTCCTATTATATTTATTTGCTGCGGTACCTGCCGCATTCGTGGCCTCAAAATAACCAAACTTTCAATTCTAAATTGTTTGTCCATTTGAAATACAGGAGTTATAAAAATGGCCTCAAAAAGATGGTGTATCCGCTTTTCCTATTAGCCAAGGGTTATTGCTAGACAGAAATGAAAATTAGTTCCTATGACACGGATGATTATATCAATTTACTTTAAATTGTTTATGTATGTTTGTGTGTGTTCATGTATATTCACTGACAGATCTAAAAGATGGTGTATCCGCTTTTCCTATTAACCAAGGGTTATTGCTAGACAGAAGGGAAAATTTAATTTAAATTCTGTATGTATGTTTGTGTGTGTTCATGTATATTCACTGACAGATCTAAAAGAATATTTCTACAAAACAAAAAGAAACTTTTAAAAAAATTCTATGTATGACCAAACAATTTTCGAAAAGTACAATAAAATCTTGTTGATTATCTGTTTTTAGGGTGTAAAAAAATGAAGTTTTATATTTTGTCTTTAACTTTATGATTTTACTGCTCAGCCTAAGGTAGGGGTTTTCCAGACAGACTGGGGAAATATCTTTATTTTTATTTATTTTTATTTTTATTTATTATTATTCATTTACCAAAATTTCTAATAGAAAACAATATTGTTCGTGGCATCATTCCGACATTGTTTCAGTACTAATTAATATTAATATTTCAGTACTAATTAATATTAATATTTCAGTACTAATTAATATTAATATTAATGATAAACTGAAATAGCCCGGTTTTATATCAATCGTAAAGGACGTCGAAATCATAGCATTCAATGCATGTTCTTTCTTTCTTTATCTTTCTTCCTTTCTTTCTTTTGTCCTTTCTTTCTTTTTATTTTCTTTTACTGTTCTTTTCCTTTCTTTTTATGTTGTTTTGTTTTTTCTTTCTGTTTTCTTTTCATTTCTTTCGCTCTTTCTTTTTTTCTTTTCTTATTATTCTTTCTTTCTCATTTCTTTTCTTTTCAGTCATTCATTAATTTTTCCCTTTCTTTTTCATTCTTTCTTTTTCATATTTTTATTTTCATTCTTTCCTTTTTCTCTCCTTTTCATTCATTCATTCTTTCTTTCTTTCTTTTTTTCTTTTCTTATTATTCTTTCTTTCTCATTTCTTTTCTTTTCAGTCATTCATTAATTTTTCCCTTTCTTTTTCATTCTTTCTTTTTCATATTCTTTCTTTTTCTTTTCATTCTTTCCTTTTTCTCTCCTTTTCATTCATTCATTCTTTCTTTTTTTTTTTTTTTCTTTTCTTATTATTCTTTCTTTTCTCATTTTTTTTTCTTTTCAGTCATTCATTAATTTTTCCCTTTCTTTTTCATTCTTTCTTTTTCATATTCTTTCTTTTTCTTTTCATTCTTTCCTTTTTCTCTCCTTTTCATTCATTCATTCTTTCTTTCTTTCTTTTTTCTTTTCTTATTATTCTTTCTTTCTCATTTCTTTTCTTTTCAGTCATTCATTAATTTTTCCATTTCTTTTTCATTCTTTTTCATATTTTTCTTTTAATTCTTTCCTTTTTCTCTCCTTTTCATTCTTTCTTTCTTTCTTTCTTTCTTTTTCTGTTCAGTTCTTTCTTTCTTCCACTCCCTCTTCTTTCTTTCTTTCTTTTTTCTTTCTTTCTTTTGCTTTCTTTCTCTCTTCTGTCCCTTCTTTCTTTCTTTCTTTCTTTCTTGTTAAGCATTTTACAACTTTCCTCTTAAAAACCCTTTCTCCTTTGATTTTGTTTGTATTGCTTCGCCTGTCCCTCTTTCACCAGTTAACTGTTACTACGCAACCACAGAATTAAATACTCAACATTTATTAATACTCCTACTTCACATTCAGGAGTGTAGAAGGGAACCATTAATTTCAACATCACTTGACGACACAAGTTTCGATATTTAATAAGCCTAACATAGGCTGGCACAAGGCTTGCAATGTGCTACATCTTTCAAGAATCAGAAAGCAGTGCTAGTTTTCACGATTAGATCGCTTCCAAAAAAGGTGGCGAGACAATCGCAAATATCGTTTTCTTGTATGCATTTTCTGTGTCCTTTCTTTATTCACGTAAACAAAACGTTATTTCTAATCTAACGGATATGGAACTAAGTTTATATATTTAAAAACGTGTTTACTTACACGACTCATGTCCGTTTACCGGACACTAACCTATCGTACTTATACAGAAATGCAAAAGGGAATGCCGTTTTTCCGCCCGTTTTCTTAAGATCGGAAACGATATTCATTTTTGACAAATATGGTACGCATAACTTTCATACCGCCATGATTGTTTAAAATAATAATAATAATAAAAAAAACTAAAATCTAGTCGCAAAATCGAGAGGACGTCGACATGAATTGATTGATGGATGAATTAAATATTAAAATGCCAAGACAAGATTTGTATTCAAGAAATACCATTTAAAAGTTTGTGTAATAGCAACACGGAATTTTTCGTTTAACGCAGTTTAATCATAATAAAACATTATTTCGCCAGTTGTTGTAATCATTTCACCCCAAGAAAAACAATAAAGCCACTATGATGCAAGGGGTTACTGAGTGTGATAGAATATGAGAAACGGAAAACATTATTAAATAGAGAGAACGATAAAAGAATTAAAATAGCAGAAGATTGACATAGCGTCTAGATTTTTGAAGGTCAACGTCGACTCGAAAGCAAGAAGCCGTAAGAATGTTCGACAAGCAAGAAGAAACAGTTACCATAGAACTTACGGTTGCATCAAGCCATTCTACTGAGACGCAAGGTGTTCCCGAGTATAGCAGAGTATCAGACAAAGAAAAGATTATTAAGAGAACAATAAAAGAACGAATTAAGATGACAGAAGATAACGAATGACATTTTTGAAAATGAAAGTTGACTCGAATGTAAGAATCCAAAAGAGTGTTCGACAAAGTATTTGTTCCAGAGAAGAAACCGTTACGGTTACATCTAGTCATTTCAACATTAAGATGGTAAAACCTTGCCTCCAACCTAGTACTGCATTTAAACTCATAACGTCTAGGTATCAAAGAAAAAAGCCCATCAGAACAATTACCATGAAAATATTTTTAGAAACGGCACAGGGCAGCTACGCTGTGGGTGGGGGTAGTAAAAATGACAGTATCTGAGATGCCAGCCCAAGACAAATAAGATTGCTGATTCTGCTTTTTATTTTACCAAGAATCTCTAAATACATAACAGACCATATGTGACTGCAATACAGGACGAATGGTAGAGTTAGAAATGTGTAAGATAGATTCTTGCAAGAAAAAATGTCTATCACGACACAATGATCCAACTTTTCTAGCAGTAGATCTAGCAATCGATTTAAAATAATCTTTCCACTTCATCTCAGCAGAAAATGTTAGCCTAGGAAGGTGCATTGGAGGTTTGCACAACACCGGTTGACAATAGCATAAAAAATAGATTAAATTATTTATTATTAACAAATTTAAAACCGCTAACCTTTTAGTTAAAAATAATAATTCACATCTTAGAACAAAATTAAATAAGACAAATATTATTTACGAATTTAAATGTCCATTAAGGAATTGTATTCTTGATCAATCAAAATTCGTAAATAATTATATAGGCCACACTACAACATGTTTGACACGAAGACCCACTCTACACCTTTCTGACCATAGCTCAATTAGATCTCATTTAAATATTAATGGAGACCTACCGGACCCTATTTGTAACAAACTTGTTGACAACACAAATATAATAGCATCATCTACATGCCAAAAAAGGCTAAAAATAATGGATGCCTTATTAATAAAAACAAAACAAAAAAAACACCACATATTAATATCAACTATGAAAGGGACACAATATCGTGAGCGTGTTTTGAAAATAAAAACATTATATAAATACATACATGCAACAATCTATTTATTGTTAACAGTCAATATATTTCAACATTGAAAATGGCTAAATGTATAGCCGAAAGCGCTCGGATATAAAGAATATTCGGACAGTTTTTATATAATTTATCATCTGAAAATAAAAGAAATTATTAGATCACATGAGAAATTCTATAAAAAAAAACTAAATCAAAGCACCTTGCCTGTTTTATTCAATGAAATATATATATATATATATATATATATATATATATATATGTGTATGTGTGTGTGTGTGTGTGTGTGTGTGTGTGTGTGTGTGTGTATGTATGTATATAAATTATGAAGATCACGTGCTATTTTGTACGGATAGTAGATTGCTGACTGGTGGAATGGATGAACCAAGGTCAAATCCAGTTTGGTCTGTTGCGCTCACTTTTATAGAAATGCCCTTGGCAAAGGTATCAATTCATTTTGTCTCATCAATATACAATCTATTTTGCGTCCATCATTGAGTAAATTGAATCCTGATCCTAGAGAGAAACCCTTCATTGATAGACAAATCTCATTAAACGTAATAAATGTGTTAATGCGAAACTAATTTCTAATATATGTGATGTGGCTTCCCTCTGTCTTTTCTCCAAACATTTTCATGGCAACTGCTCTGAGGAATTATAACTCTGAGAAGATCTTTTTTTGCGATCGTCAGTGCCGCTAGGTCCCATTAAACATAAGATGCAAAGCCCATTTAGTGCAAAACACTAAAGAAGAAATGACAAAAATGTCCGTTTTATGTTGAGAAATTCGCTAGGAATTCTTCTGTCATTATATGTTGCAAGCATTTTCCGTTTTTTTTCGTCCCTTCGCCATTTTATTTATTTTCCTATGGAATTCTAAATTTAACTACTATCGTCTCTTTTTTTCCTAAAATATTAAAATCTCTTCCTTTATTTATTTATAATTTTATCTCATTTTTTTTTTTTTTTTTTTTTCAAATGAACATATTTGTTTAAATATCTGAGAGGGATGCCAATAATCAGTCAAATACAACAATTTAAATATCTGAGAAGTGTTTTAACAGAGGACGGGAAATGTGCTTAGGAAATACGAGTGCTAATTAGGATAGCGAAAGTGTCCTTCAAAAAGCTAAGCAAAGTATTAAGAAACAGAAAAAATTCCGTTAGGATCAAAGAAAAGAGTATTCAACTGTTATGTAATCTCAGTCCCTCTATATAGTAGTGAATACTGGACAATCTCCTCAGAGATAAAGAAGAGATTTAAAACAATAGAGATGTGGTTCTACAGAAGGATGCTGAGAATATCATGGACCAAATATGTGAGCAATGACGCAGTTGTAAAAGAAATGGAAACGAAAAGGACACTATCTGTCTACATTTCTGAGATGATGTTTTATGTACATTATTTACATTATTCGGACTATTGTCCGCATCTTTGTCGCCATATTTATTACAACGTTTCGGCCGTTGTACGCTCCGGCCTTCTTCAGGTTGCTGGAATGTCGAACTGAGCCCTTTATTTCGCTCACTGGGGTAGACTGTTCAAGTTTCACATGTCATATTTAATGGATGTCAGTTATTAGTTATCACCTGTTAATTCCCCTCTGAAAGAGTGTGAGTTCAATTCCCGGTTAAGGCAGTGGAGAACTGTCAGCTAACTGACACGAATGTTAACTAGCATGAAAAAAAAATCGATAGCTGTATTCGTCACAAGTGGGAAAAATTTAAATCTGCATGGCACTTTACTCCAATTGGCACATTCGTTTGCTTAAACTCAACGTTGATTCTGATTCCGCAGAATTGGGTTGGGTGTGAAAAAGTATTTGTTGTTAACATTCTTTTTTTCATTTGGTTTTCCAGTTACAAGTCCTTTTTTTAAAGCAGATCGTTTTGTGTTCATTTTGTTTAGTTCTTTTTCGTAACAGATTTAATGTTTAGTATAGAGCTTAGAAAAAAATTCGCAGTGTGAGATAGGCAAGAAGTAAGGCATGTAGCAACATCAGCACGGCAAAGGGCACTTCTTTAAAGGCAAGGATGGGAAAAATATTTCCAGTCAAGTGATAGCGATTGCTGTATGTGTCGTACGATTTTTGAATTAAGCACGGGCAACGCCGCCTAATATATATATATATATATATATATATATATATATATATATATATATATATATATATTTCATTTTTTTTCTAGTTGGATCGTTTACCTATATTGCATATATGATCTGTTATTGTACATAATTAGGTTACAATAAAATATTACCGTATGAAAATTCAGATGTAGTAGAGTTAGGGGTCTCGTATCATATATTCGGGGTGTAGAGCACGAGACACTTGCAACGGCCCTGATCTTACCATAAGATTCTGTTCACTTTTTTTTTCTGGTTATTTTACTTCTGTTTTTCTTGACATTTTAAATTGCTTTTAACAACATTAACAGAATCCAGATTCTTCACCAAAAAATATTCTTTGATTTTCTTGTCCTACTCTCACTCACCGATACTATGAAGGTATTTACTTAACAAGGGGTCAAGACGGGGTCACTTCAGTAACCTTTCGGCCAAGTTCTAAGGGCGGATAGGGCTTTAGCATTAATTGTGTGTCCGGAAATGGAGCGACAAAAGCGGTCAGAAACATAAGAGCAATTAAACCAGTTTGCCGGTGCACAGACTGACAAAGTTCACAGTTAAGCAAAACATTCTTGTAAAATGTGAAAAGGAAAATAAACAAAAACCATGGAGGTTAATTTTTGAAAGAAAGATAGTTTCAAATATTTGTTCTAAAAGCTAACTTTAGTGCAAGGGTAGATTAAAAAAAAAAAAAAAAAAACCCAAAAAACAAATACATTGTAAAAAAAATATTACCAACAATACATTTTTTGAAAAACAGATTTTTTGAAGAAAAATATATTACAAGAAATACATTTTTGAAAAAAAAAAAATTAGCAGCAATAAAATCATTGTCGGCATTAAAAAAACCCATTGAGGTGTTGATATGCCATAAGACAAAACACTCCACACCAACACTACCGTAACATGCATTGTATTATTCAAGTTTATTTGTTTGAACGCTCAAACCAGTTCAGGCAACGGAGAAAACAAAATCATATGTTGAAACAATCTACCCGTGCAATATATATATATATATATATATATATATATATATATACAGCCTTGTGCAAAATAATTGAAACAAAACAAATTATTCCATTATTTTTTTCATATTTTTCCAATGGATCATGACCCAGTGCCCATGTTAGTACTTCGTATGTCCATTCTACAAAGTCATTCCTTGCAGCGTTACAATTTTCGTACGCTTACTTGGAGTAACGTCCATCGCAGACAGTGGCCGAAGGACAACTAATCAACAGTCGAGACAATAGTGTCTGGGCGTGATAGAAATCTGACGCATTCACAGATGACGCAATATTTTTCAAGGGCAAACAAATTTTATGATAAATCTCGAAAAGAGATTCATATTACTGCACACCACTGCAAATGACCTAATCCGAAGAAAAAAATAGAAATCGATTACACCCTGTCACTCCAGTGAGTCTAAAACTGACCGTGTGGTAAAAGAAAGGAAACTAAAGAGTTTGTTTCAATTAATTTGCACAATGGTGTATATAGCACACAGGTAACCCTACACCTTGAGTGAGTACAATCAAAATGAGAGGGGGAAAAGAAGAGATAAACGCTGCCATGGGAGATCATATATATATATATATATATATATATCAAATTTATCATAATAATCCGGTGTCCATGGTCTGGGGTTTCTGCTGCTCATCTCGAGGTTCTTGACAAAATCCAAAAAAGGATCTGCAATGTAATCGATCCTGACCTGGCATCTCGACTTCAGTCACTTTCGTGACGTGGCTTCCCTCTGTGTATTTATAAATATAAATCATGGCAACTGCTCTGACGAGTTTTATTTATCTACATGAATTTAAGCGTGTTACTAGATTGGCATCTAGGTCCCACCCTTTTAATAACTGAACTATCTAAATGCACCTTCTACCCCAACGGTTTATTTTCTCGCACTTCCCGCCTGTGCAAATTCCTTCTGTTTACTTGCTTTCCTGATAACTACAGTTTTCATAAATTTAAATGCAACATCAATCGCAATCTTCTGTCTTCTTGAACCCAGTTCATCTTTTGTCCTTTCCTCAATCCTCCCTATACTCGTTTTTTTTTCTGTCACTTTCACTCCCTGTAATCCCCTCCCTTCGTACTAATGGCATATCCGCCTTGCTTGGGGTGAAATGATTAAAAAAAAAGATTAACAATTCCGAGACATTACACCACCCGCACATCTAAGCTTACAGAACCTGTTATTCACAAGCGGTCACCAGATAGATAGATAGATATATAGATAGATAATTAATTCAATTATTTTCAGAAACAAAATGTCTGAATTTCCGCTGTAATAGAATGTGTAATAGAAAGAGGGAGAAAAAGGGAGAAATGTGAACGAATAGATAGATAGATAGATAGATATAAATCAGACCGAGATAGATAGATAGATAGATAGATAGATAGATAGATAGATAGATTCAATTTTATTTTATTTACTCATAACTGACTTTATTTTTAGCCGAAATTTCCTTATATAAAGGGCTACTGGAAGTTTAAGTTTTTGCTTATAATTATCTTCATGGAGAACTGGGTGTTCTTTTATATGCTCTGAGAGTGAACTATGATCGTTCAAGTGAAATGTAAGCTACGAGTCGTGGCCTGACGATTGCATATAGCATGAAACAGACTGTGGCCTCTAAGTGTTGACTTCATTGTTCACTTTTATATTTGCACACTCTCTCTCTCTCTCTCTCTCTCTCTCTCTCTCTCTGATATTGAGCATAATCACATAAATATAGCACTGCTTAAGACTATATTTTTTCATATATATATATATAATTATTTATTTAAAAATTATAAATAAATATGTTATAAAATCACTACAAAAATATCCATTTTGTTTCAACACCTCTGGTGTCCTATCAAGTGATGATGTTGAATGTAGATTGTAAAATAAAGGTTTTAAAAGGTTCAAATTAATTAACCACCCCTCGTAAGGGGAAACGCTGTCACATGAGCTGAAATGACCAATCAAAATACAAGTATACGAGAATTCAATATATATATATATATATATATATATATTAGTATAACACCCATAAAAGACGGTAGGAAACTTTACATATGGATCAGGTGTTTTGATGAAGATCTCCATAGTATCTATGCACTTCAGCCTAGGTTCAATTCTCCTTAACCTGACCTTTCTAACTCGGATCAGAATTTCTTCTCGTCTTTGTTGCTTTTCATCTTTTGAGCAGGTCACAGTTTCTGACTTTGTGTCAGTACCTCCCTTATTGCACTAAAGAGGCGGAACTGGTGGATGGTTATTTGGGTCCTTTGTTCTTATGTAGGCGTATAAGCACCCCACGCTAAAGCGACCATGTGTCGCAATTTACAACTGTCGGCTTGGTGGGGTAGGTAAATACCATCAGTGCATCTTTCTTAGTGTTTGTGGACAATCCGCTGGAATCAAAGGTCGCGGAATATCATCGGAAGTTCAAATTCAGTTGTAAGATGTACTTACAACTGAACCAGACCCTCCGATGACACCCCACGATATCAGATTTCCTGCGGATTATTCGTAAAGACTAAGAAAGACGCACTGATTTACCTACATATAAGAAAAAAAATACATGTACAGAAAAGGTCACAGTCATTATTATTTAGTATATATATATATATATATATATATATATATATATATAAACGAAACGTCATTTACGCTAAATTTAAATCTCGTACATTCATAACTGCTCTGGCGTATCAAATGTAAACAAATGACGTCATATATTAAGAAATGGACAAAGTCCGACAATTTATTTATTAAAGACATTTTTATGTTTAACGTTCTTTTTTTTGTACGAGATTCATGGAAGATTGAAGTTTATAAGCAGTAAATTCGACCTTGTCTACCGAACGCTCCTTTGTGGCCGATCGGTAAGGCACGTCAGCGTAAATGACGGTTCCGTATAGGATGCAGGTTCGAATCCTGTCAAAGGACGAATATTTTCTATGAAAATTTCTCGGACATTCAGGCCGGTAAATGTTATTTATTACTGCTTATTATAAACAGAGCATTTATTTAAATACTTGTATCTATAAAAAAAGAACGTTAAACATAAAAATGTCGGAGTTTGTCCATTTCTTAATATATATATATATATATATATATATATATATATAATGTCATTCGCAGACAGTACAGTTTCGCTGTATCACCAACCGATTTGGTGTCAGTCAGAGCTTCTACCACTGAGCCATCTTCACTCGACAGAAAGAATCAGCCAAATCTAGCGTATTGTTTTTACAAATGTAAACAAACGCCAAGCAGCCAAAGTGCTCCATTCATTTTACTGAAGAGCTTCGCATTAACGCAGGCGGTTGTTGTTTTTAGAATTAGAATTTGTCATTCAACAGTGCTCAATTGAAAATATATTTTCAAGATATACCAGGGGCATACATGTATGTGTAAAAGTTTCAGATAGATTATATCTGTAAAAGGAAAATATGAATAAAGACAAAAGGAAAACTTATCTTAGCCGACGCGTTTCGTCCTTTGAAGGATTTTATCAAGGCGAAACGACAAAAGGGAAAAATTTCATGTGACGCGTTTCGTGCTTTAGGACTTCATCAGACTTAGTTTGTGTACATTAATACCACTACACATGCACACGAATAAGGGACGCTAGAAAGTTTTAAATTAAAAAATATATAAACATATATATCTTTTTAATATGTGTATTCAATGACATACTTGGCGAGTGGATAACAGAACGTCGTCTGGGGGAGGTGGCAGAGGCACGAAACTTATTGAGATGCTATAAGGGATAGGAAGAAGTGGAGAGCCATGATCACCTACGTCCTGAAAGGACACGGCACATAAAAAGAAAGAAAGATTATATATTATATATTATTATATATATCCACTGTTACGCTAAAAAAAAAAACTGGCATACCCTGATGAAAAAATGCCCAAAACTTAAAAAGAAAGTTTTATCGTAAAAAAATCCTTGTTATAATTGGGAGGAAAGACTTTCGATTTTTTTTAGTATTAAATTATATTTTTTGTTCTTTTTTAGAACGTTCGATTTTTTTCCTTAAAATCCCGTTTTTTTTGGGTGGGGTGGTAAAGATTAGTATAGGAAATTTTAGTGTCTATTTGATTAAAAAGAAATTGATTTAGAAATTCTTTCAAAAATTAAATACTTTTCTGATTTTAATTAAATTTTCAGGACTTATTCACAAACGAATTTTAGAAATGTCTTATTTTTAGAAAATCTTGGTATTTTTTCACATCTAATTTTATGAAAGTTCGTGAAATTAAATTTCCAGCTTAATGTCTGTATTATTTAAAAGTAGAACTCCTTGGAGAATTTAAATTTTTTACTTCTTTCTTCTTGTGAAAATGTCTTTTTTTTTATAAACATTTATTTAGATACCTCCACAAATTCGATAAAAACGAGAATACATGAGAATAAATTGATCCAGACATAAAGTCTTGTCCTCAAAATTTTTGTTATTATTAAGAGGGAACATCAAAGGATTTTTTTATGTAACTTTTTTTTTCATCGTTTTTTGAATTTTGAAAAGTTTGGTTAAAAACTTATTTTTATGGGTAAACGCCGAGCTTCAAATTTCTACGGGAAATTTGAGCATTTTTTTTTTCATTTGAAAAACACATGTCGATAAATCACTTTACATGTCAAAAAAAACACCCAGCTCTTAAAAAAAGATACTTTTCTACGACATTTTAAACTACAGTTAAGCAATATTTGTTTCAATCGAGATGTAATTAAACTTTAAATCAGAAAATATTCTCAAATAACTTTTCAGAAAAGTATATTTATTTTTTAAATATTTTTTTATAATAAGAATTATATTGTGTTAATTCTGTCAATATAAAATAATTTATGAATTTTACTGATGTTTCAAAAAGATTCCAATCAGTTTAAATTCGATTTGAAATACACCAGAGTATTTTTGTTATTAGGAATATTAAATTTTATCTATCAGCTTGGAATTAAAACTAAAATTAAAGCCTCGGGGGAAGCTTTTTCATTTTTTAAAATACATCGATTTTGGGGGCGTAACCTATATTTATTCAAAGTTATTTGGGGACAATCAGTCAGTGATTTTTTTTTTCGTTCGAAAAAATTTCGGATTGACGTGAAAAAATTATTTTAAATTCACTTCATTTATTCATTTATTTATTTTTAATTCACTTAAAATGGTTATTTACATGTTTTATTTGTTTCTTTATGTCAAAAAACGACGACATTGTGACACATGGCGGGCGGAGTTAGAGGGGCGGGATGTATATATAAATGAAAAGTTTTAGTAGGAGGACATTACTCAAACAAGGACAAATCTCAACGAAAGAGACGTGGAGAGAACGAGTTGTAAAGAACTAAGCGATCGTACACTAGCGAAAACAAAGAAACACAATGTAAGCGAAATTTCTTTAAGTCTTGCTATGAATTATGGACGTATTTATTGAACTGAGTCTTTGTTCTTTTGATTTTCTTTTTTTACAACAACTATTTTTAATCATTCTAAATGAAAGAGATAAGTAAGAGAAAGTTTCATTTCTTTGTATATGCCGTTATACTAGCAATACTAAAATAGTCTTAGAGTCCATTTGGATTTCTTGATATGGCAATTGATAATGTCATTGTTTACGAAACGTTAAAATTTTACACTAACATTTTTTATTATTATTATAACTATTATTATTATTATTTTTTTTTTTTTTTATTATTTTATATTTTTTTCTTACTTAACTGACATCGTTTTATTATAGTGAAAAAGAAATCCAGTAATTTAAAAAAAAAAAAAAAAAAAAACACGTGCTGATAAATCTAGGTTTCTGTTTTTAACTCTTGTAAGCACAGGTATCCGAACTCAAACGACAAAAAATAGTAAATAGTACACACACACGCACACAAATACATGGAGAGACCGAGGGGGAGGGAGAGTGAGAGAGAGTGAAAGAGTAAGAGAGAGATAGAGTGAGAAAGACACTTAAAACTTCTATTTACATATACCGATATAAATACACACGCACCCCATATATATATATATATATATAAAGTTTTACTCTAATAAAAAACTTTTTACTTCGATAAAAACGTTTGTATAACAGCGTATTACTGTGTAATATATATCTATACACACACACACACACACACACACACACGCACGCACACATATATATGCGTGTGTGTGTGTGTAGGTGCATGTATGTCCTTGCGTTTTTGTGTACGCGCGTGTTTATGAGTATATGTGTGCATGAGTATTATTTTATGTATATGTTACTTTCTGTTGAACATAAATGTATTATAATATGTCGGGAATTTCAGCTATATATATATATATATATATATATATATATATAGATAGATAGATAGATAGATAGATGGATAGTTGTCACTCTTACAATATAGAAAGTTTTATTAAATTAATTTACGCTATTTTCAAGCATCATATTATTAGCCGG